AATTGGGGCTTTTTTTTTTTTTTCAATTGGGGCTCTTACTTTATGTTACTCATTTCAGTTTTCTTTTTATTAAGTTCTTGAAAGTCTGCAGACTGATTTGTTAGCAAAATACAGAGATTAATACAGAAATGTCATTTTAGCCTGTGGCATACTAAGCACTTTAAAAGGCAATCTAAGTTCATTTGTGTCACCTGCTAGGGAATCTCTAGTTCAAGTGTCCAGAAACATGGAACTGCTGGGGTACTTGGAACAATTGCTCTCCATCCATCTATGCCCCACAAGATACAAAGGATGTCTTTTTCATTGAGCGAGGTGCAAGGTATCCACATAATCACTTGACTTTTAGCTTTGAAATTACTCTGATACGTCCATTCTCATTTACTTAGAGAAAATTCAACCAGGAGCAGATATTTAGGAACCTGCAGAACTATCTCAGTTGTTAGATTTTTGAGTGTACTGGCTCCTGGAATTGGGGTTTCATATCCCGGACCAGTTTTAGTATCTTTCCTCAACACTAAGCTCTTTCATGGAAGGGAAGAATTGTAGTAATTTTTTATTATTATTTTCTGTTAGAAAATTAGAGTGACTTTATTAGGCACATACATTCAAGAGATTCTACATCATTCTTTGCTCGGAAATGCTGAGAACATCCTGCCCATGTATTTTCTGTAACACAACATGAAGAATCATATTCATGAAAATGATTCCTTGAAATTATTTTTAACTAAAAATCCTGAAGTAACGCTTCCTAAATTGTTATTTCCTGCCCCTGTTAAGGGAGAAGAAACATGGAGTCCTTTTGAGAACTACCTGTAGTATTCAGCAAACAAGCCTAAAGCATTTTAAACTGAGCACCCTGTAATAAGATACTTTTTTCTTAGTCAAATGGCTTGAAGAGTGGGCATTGCACCTCCCCAAACTGCCCCATTCTTTTTCAGAGTGTTGTATGAAATTTCTGCCTTTCTTCATCCTTTTTTTTCTTGCCTCTTGTTGTTACTCTCACTGCAGTTCAACAGAGGCAGCGTTTTTTTTAAAGCCAAATGACTTTATAGATCTACAGTAAGATACAGCTGTATAAGCATTCTTTCCCCATCACCAAGGGTGTAGAAGTGGCTGAAGTATAGCTCTTGAACCAGCTGTGGCACTGCAGGACTAGCAATGGGGAAGTGTGCTCAAGCACATACTTGAGAAAGTTAGGACAAAGTTTCACAATCATTTAATCCTGCATCTGCACGCTGCTCTGGTAGTGGGACAGATTAGGCTCTAGTCAAACGCTGGACAAATCCAGGATGATATTTTTGTCCAGATTTGCAGAGGACATTAAAACTTGTGCCAGATATATGCTGGTTTTATGTAAGACCACCAGTACAAATCTAACCTGTCAAAAATACTTAATAGATTCAAATTGCAGAATGAGTTTACGCTGGATCAGCGTTTTGCACCATGCAGCGGTAGCAGCTTTGATCGACCACATTTGAAATTATAAAAACTTTTGGTTGGGCTCCCTAACCAGCAGCATAATATTTTAGGTACCTCACATAATAGAACAGTTGCAGACATAGAAGAGGAGAAAAAAAAAAAAGGTCAGGAGCATTATCCTCATGAAAGCATTAAGGCTTTGTGTTAATTGAGATTTATACCACTTTGGGATAAACTTTGGCTCAGGAACTGAATGCAATTTAACTGGGAACTAGGGATTGCCTGGGCGTTTCTCTCTGAGCTGTACGGAGACAGCCTGGCTGCACAGTTCCCTTCTGGCCAAGAACCCTGCTCTTCTCTGGCTGCTTTCTCGCCTGGCTCCTTTTGAGAGTTCAGCACCACAAAACTAGGGTCCCTCTCCCAGGCAGCAGTCGCTGCGTTTAGGGGGTGTCTCCCGTCAGAGAGGGGAGATGCAGCTCGCATCTACCTTCTCTGCACCCCCGTCCGCTCTGTCAGCATTGGCTAATTTTGATTCAGACAGCCCTATTGGTTTCACTCCTCTACTACAGCAACAGTAAGAGCATTTGTGTAGACAGTCCTCAAGAACAATGGTTTCCATTTTTATATCCCTTATGCTGTCCTGTGTTGCTGTTAGCTCACCCTTCGCCTGTGAGGACAAACTGGGAACATGTCACCAGGGAGCTGTCATCACCCCACGCACTGATGGCGATTGCGTCTTTCCCCAGACGCTCCTCAAGATGGAGTCTGGTGGTCCCATCACTCCCGCTGCCCGCGCTGCACGGCCTCAAGCCCCGCACGGGTCTCCCATTTCCCCTGATCTTTTCCCAGCACATTAAGTGATTTTTCTCCTTTCCTTTATGAGTTTAGTGGCAGATTCCAGCCAAGCTATGGCACTGTCTAGCTCTGTGCTTTCGGCGATGTAGCTTTTTAAATAGGGTGATGATCCACACTGGCACCCCTCTGCTTGGGCAGGGGTCTGCTCTGTCCTTGGCAGCGGCAGTGAAATGGCATCAGGCACATAAAGAGGAGGACAGAAAAAAAGAAAAAATCAGTATTATCCCTGGCTTTTCCATTTTCTTCTCTGGAAAACTTGAATAAGTCAGTGTTCCTAGGAAAGATGAGATACTTTTTGACTTCTGAGTACAGAAATGGTGCAAGATCGCACCACCCCCAGGCACTGGGGCAGGCCTGATTAAGCAGCTCACAGGGTCCCTGAAGCAAACGATGTGCAGCACGGATACATCTGAGGGTTTAGTTTTCTTTTACTGCTAGTTGCAGTTTCTCTCTTCCCGTGTTTATCTACTTTATTTCAGCTGGAGGCGTTTTAGCAGTGATCAAGGCAGGCTGCTTTCCCCGGGGCTGCTGCGGGAGGTGCTCAGGGAGGAGAGAAGGAAGAGCAGGCTGCTGTTTAAATTTCATCTGCTCGGCTTGCCTCCGTTTTGACTTTTTTGAGGAAAACTTTGAGGTAATTTTCTCAGGTTTATAAAGTTTTGCTGTGTAATGTCTTTTTGAAGTGGAAAAAAACCCCGTTTCTGTGAGCCCCCCCTCGTAAAGACCGTTCACCTTCAGGCACCGAGCACTGGGTGGCCCCCCGCCTTCCCTAACCGGGGGACCCCGCTGCGACCCCCGCGCT